TCAGTTAAACCAACAGCTAAGTGAGGCTCTGACAGTGTGGGATCGAGAGTTGGGACTCCACAAAGATTCTTTTTCTGGTTAATTCTCAATGCCAGACTGTCTGTCCCTTGCCCAGTGAGCACTTGCACCTAAATTGAAAATACTGGCATCTTCTGACCTCAGAGCTAAAATTAGCAGTTTCCCCTCTAGTTTTAAGTATCCACTGCTAGGCAATAGCTATTGTACAATACATATACATGTATATGTAGCTGGGTCCTGAGGCATAACCCAGGATTAGGTTGAAACATCAGCACACTCACACACACACACACACACACACACACACACTATAAACTGGCTGTTAACTGTAATGTCTGTATCTCCCTACTAGCCTAGGCACATGTCACTACTGCGTAGATAGTGGTGTAACAATTTTCTCTCAGCCTTCTTCTATAATTTTAGCAGGAATGATGTGAATTTCCTTGTCAGTGTACATGTATATTGTGTGGTCAAGTCATAGTCACAGCTGTACAACCCAGTGCATTCCCTTTATTCATGAATATTGTAGCTACTAGGAGTAGCCTTTATGAATATGCTGGGTATGAATAAATATTATTATAGGGATATACCACTATAGAGGGATACTCCTCACAACCACACTACATGACAATCTCTTAGTTTGTGGTGCTATGTATAATAGTGAGTGTAGCATAATGTTAAGCCAATCACTCATACTGTAGGGCGCCTTTTTTTCGAGGGCTATAATTTTCGTGGATTTTTATTTCGCGGATTTAATTTTCGCGAATTTATGCCGTCTGCCATCTTGTACCGTATTAATTTGATTTTCGCGAAAGTAATTTTCGCGAATCTTTAAAAATCGTGAAATCCGCAAAATTTATAGCCCTCGAAAAAAAGGGCGCCCTACGGTAGTATGTAGTAATTAATGATTATTGTGACTGTTTTATAAAACAACTTCCCCTTGCATGTTTGTGTGTTATTTATGGTGTTTCCTCTTTTTCTATCTCTACTTAAAAGGCGTGCATGGCATTGATGAAAGCATTTGCAGATCATAATAATTATTATAGAGAAAGCAGAGAGGCAAAGTGTTTTCATGCTTGAATTGTGATTATTATACAGGGCATTGTTTACCTAATTCCAATTCAGTTTCTTCAGTTTAATATATATTTTTATTTTAAGGATAACCTTCAAAACTTTTTTATCAAATTTTTAGAATCATGAGAAAATATCCTATGTTACATGTACATGTACATGTTCTTTGAAGTATGAAAAATTAACACATTATGTTACAAGTACTGTACATGTACTGTATTTGCCCCCACTTTTTATTCTAGCTGTATCTTTCCTTTTTATTTGCGTTTCATAGTAAGGATATCACTATGAATACACAAGTATGAATATTGCTATGTTAAAAGTAGGGATATTCCCTACATGCAGTTTATAACTACCTGCCACTCTTAAGTGTGTGTTAATATCTTGCTAATGATGTAAGAGTGTGTTCTTATAAATTAGTGAGCGTATTACTCTAAGTCAAACAGTTGGCATGATTCTACTATTACCTGTCAGTTATATGTATAGTTGATTTGTCTGTGTACTTATGTATTAGTATTTTGTATTTGTATAAATGCTTAGCATAAAAGCTCTCATAACTCTCCGGCATTCCTACCCTTGTTCATTCTGAATTATGTGCATAATGTACCTTATGTAGTATGTATAGTTATGTCTTTAAACTTTTGTAGTCTATAGTACTGTATAGCGGGAAATTTTGGAGGGACTAAAATTTGGCGAATTGCTAAATTTTGATGATTGGCGGGTTTTAATTTGGTGAATTGGTGGCCACATGCCATTGAGCATGCGTATAATGGCTCAAAATGGTGGGTTTTATTTTGGCTAATGGCTATCAAAACGCCGAATTCACCAAATTTAATTCCCTCCAAAATTTCCAGCTATACGGTATATATTTTAGGGATTTTTGTAAAGTTTATTGATTTATAATCTTATCATAGCCGTATTATATTGGTGAAAGTTAAGGCCACCGTACACGGGGCAACATTGTTGCTTGAAACTTTGTGGTTACTTTGATCTTGTTGCTTCAAGTTGACCACTGCTGGGCAACAAGATCGAAGTAACCACAAAGTTATATGCAACAATGCTGCCCTGTGTATGGTGGCCTTTAGGATATTTGGCAACTTGCTGAAATTTTTGCAATTAGCAAATTTTACTGTTAGTGATTTATAAACCATGCTACATATTAAGCATAAAGCAACATGGTAGATTTTTTATTGGTGGATGCTTAGCACACTGTCAATCTGCCAATATTAATTCTCAGGCTGTCAATATTTCTAACTGTAGAGCACTTGTAATTATTATAACTATTTTGCAAATATTATTGTCTTTACTAATTTTATGTAATTTCTACCTTTATTATTTACTTAGATTATCTCCTGGCTGAAATGA